GGAATCATGAACGATCTAGTGTACATCAATAATTATCTTAAGCTAAAGTTGAGCTATCACAAACACGGCGAGTTAGTATCCATTCCATACATCCGCAAAAGATTTTACAGAGATGATGGAGGAAATTGTGATAAAAATCGTTTTACCTTTTCTTTTTTTACAGAAATGAATTTAGAGTAGTTGGATTCGAGGTGGAAGCTCGATCCATCGACACAACTCAATTGAAGTTTGACGGGAACACTTGCATTCTACCGAGCGAGGCCAGCCCGCAGTTTGTCAATCCAAAAGGCACGAGTCTCCTCTTCCTGTACTCGGTGGAATGGAAACAGTCGGACGTCAGCTGGGCGAGCAGATGGGACGTGTACCTCGGCATGAGCGACGTCGAAATTCACTGGTTCTCGATCATCAATTCTCTCATTGTCGTTTTCTTCTTATCTGGTGAGAATGAGCAGCGACTACGATATTAGGCAAAACTTTAGAGATTCTCGCATTTCAAGCTTCTGCAATTTTCGTGACATGAATTTGTGAGTGTATCACGCGACGCACGACGACATTGGACAAATTTTGTGACTACTCGATAAAATATGACAAAGTCGATACAAAAACTATTTCCTCGATTTTCGAAGTAGCAGAAAATATCTAATTAAAAACAAATTAATTTCGGGGTATTAATTTTTGGATTATGTACTTATTGCAGGAATTCTTACGATGATCATGGTGAGAACACTTAGAAGGGACATAGCCCGTTACAACGCGGGCGAGAGTGACAGTTTGGCAGGTCTGGATGAAACCATCGAGGAGACCGGTTGGAAATTGGTTCATGGAGACGTGTTCCGACCGCCGACCAACTCGCGCTTATTCGCCGCCGTGATCGGCAGCGGCATCCAGATATTTTTCATGGCTTTAATCACGATATGTAGGAACACATATTGAATCCTAGCAATGCAACGTAAAGTACAGCGACTACATATTTGTTTATACCTGTCTGTATTCCTGCAGTCTTCGCGATGCTGGGAATGCTGTCGCCGGCGAGTCGAGGAGCCTTGGGCACCTGCGCGATATTTTTGTATGTGTTTTCCGGTTTAATCGCTGGCTATTTCTCAGCTCGATTGTACAAAACTATGCGGGGTCGAGAGTGGAGAAGAGCCGCTTTACTGGTAAGAAACATAGATTACATTATGAGTTATTCATATAAGGTGAATATGTTTTTCTGCATAATTAACTTGTATAATTTTCCACGATTAATTCACGAAACATATGTATCGTAATTTCTAATATAAGGATTAATATTTATTGCTGCAGACGGCGACGTTCTATCCAGGTATAGTCTTCACGACATGCTTCTTCCTAAATTTCTTCATATGGGGAAAACACAGCTCTGGTGCGGTTCCCTTCACCACAATGGTGGCCCTGCTGTGCCTCTGGTTCGGCATCTCACTACCTCTCGTCTATCTCGGTTACTTCTTTGGCTATCGCAAGCAGCCCTTTACGCATCCCGTTAGAACGAATCAAATCCCTAGACAAGTTCCTGAACAGCTATGGTATATGAATCCAATATTATGGTAAGTTTGAGAAGAGAATTTCAATTCACTTTTTTCTATTATTTCGCTACTAATAAATATCAGTTGTAAAAATATATTATATAATATACTTGTACAATTATATATTAACAATATTATTTTAAGTTGATACATAAATTTTTTACTATTAAATATTAATAAAGGAAATAATCTTTGCAGCACTCTAATGGCTGGAATCTTACCATTCGGCGCGGTATTCATAGAACTGTTCTTCATCCTGACTGCGCTCTGGGAAAATCAGTTTTATTATCTTTTCGGATTTCTATTCCTCGTTTTCTGTATCCTTGTAATCTCGTGCTCGCAAATATCGATAGTCATGGTCTACTTCCAGTTGTGCGGCGAAGTAAGTGCAACGAGAAAATTACCAAAAGCGGTCTCTTTGATTTAATATTCAATGCCATATTTAATTTTTATTTAAGGAAGATTTTTATATCTTTATTTGAACTTTGAATTCAGTTTTTCTATGTTCTATCATTTGCAGTTTGATGCTCTTTCTGTCTTCTTGATTCGTATTTTTTTCTAGCTTTTGTAATATTCTTATTCTTACGCTTTGATGTTTTGATTTCAGGATTATAGGTGGTGGTGGCGCAGTTTCATCGTAAGCGGTGGATCGGCGGTCTACGTGCTGGCGTATTCCGTCTTTTATTTTGTCACCAAACTGAAGATCACCGAGCTGGTGCCGACTCTCATGTA